GCAGCGGTTCTCAACCTGTGGGTCGCGACCCCTTTGGCGGTCGAACGACCCTTTCACAGGGGTCGCCTAAGACCATCCTGCATATCAGATATTTACATGACGATTCATAACAGTAGCAACATGACAGTTATGAAGTAGCAACGAAAATAATTTTATGGTTGGGTCACAACATGAGGAACTGTATTAAAAGGGCCAGAAGGTTGAGAACCACTGGATTAGAAGGAAAAAATAATTCAGCCGGTCCTTTCTGCCCTTTAGAGTTCCATATAAATGTTGCCCCTCTCAGCCTCCGATCCAGGCTGAGAGCCAGTGCCTGGGATCGAGCTCCCCAGGGTCCCTCCCTGTTCGGGTAACCTGCCGGTCTCGTTCGGTCTGTACATTTGGAGCAGAGGCACCGTCTGAAATGTGCAGGGTTCCAATGCCATTTGGGGGGATGCGCCCGAGAAGCAACCCGCCCCGTGTTTAATTTTTGTCATTTTTACCAAATGAATTGCAAGTGGTGTTTATCGACGGGGCTAATGTACACTTGGAGTTGGTAGGAATTTTTAGACCCAGCCCTGTCCCCCCGGGGTTTTCGAGTGGAGGAGGCGTGGTATGTTGCCCAGCTCCGAAGGGCTGACTCGTGGAAAGGCGTGGGTGTTTCAGCTGCTTGGATGGGCCCACCCGCTAATTTTTCTCACCTGTGAAAACATGACCGGCGTAATGGAGAGCAGCCCTCGCCTTTGCGCTGGTGGCTCTAAGCTCAGCCCCAGAAGCCGGGCTGGGGGTGGGGGGCTGAATTGATCCCTACACGTGGCCACCTTCTCCCTGGAGTTGCATTTGGTGTGTCATCGTGCATTTGCGTTAGAGCAGCCGAGAGCCGGCCAGACGGCCCGTGCGCGGGCGACAAAGGCGGGTGGTCTGTTTGGGAAAATGCCTGCTGTGATTTCCGAGGGCTGTGGGTTCCAGCCCTGCTTCAGCGCGGAGCTTCAGCTGCTGTGGCCCACCCCGTGAGCAGGAGGGGCAGCTCCCCGAAGTGTTATTGAGGGCCCGGGGGGCAGCTGGGGTGCCCTCACTGTTGGGGGCCTGGCTCCCGTCACACCCCAGCAGGGTGTGACTTGATTCCTCACAGAATCGAATACAGTCTGTCCTGGGCTGATCCTGAAGGAAGTGCTCCGGGAGGCGGGGGGTGGTCTCCCTGGCTCCTTGCATCCCCAGAGGTCCTTCACCCCCTGGATGTTGAGGGGTCGGGGCAGGGACAATGAAGATGAAACCCACATGCCTTCCCATGAACCTGACAGCATGGGTCTGAGTGTGTTAGCGTGGCTGTCCTTGGTGATGTCTGCCGGCCTTGCTGAAGGGCCGCCTGAGGGTCTCCGATTTCTGTTGCTCATCCGGGGTGTCGGTGGGGGAGCAGCACCATTTGAGGTCAGGGTGGGGGTGAAGCGTGAGTGTCCGACACCTCAAGATGAAGGTGGCTTTCCGGACACAGTGAGGGGAGCTGGGTCCATAGGGAGGCTGTCTGGGGTCATTCTTCCCTCTACTCGACTAGCCTTTTCCACAGATGACCTAATGGATAATGCTTTCTGTTCCCAGGTAAGCGGAGATGATCAGTTTCACAATGTGCCCAATACCTTTCGGGGGGAAACTGCACCCCCTTTCCAGGCTGCCAGAGATACGGAGCAGCTCGAGTTCGCCTCGAGGAGCGGCTTAGCGTTGTCTGCTCCTTGAACGTCAGCGTGGGTTTTGTTTACAGTCTCATCGTACAAGTTCTTTTCCAAGTGGCTCGTAGCTCAGCACAGGCTGTACCTGATTGCTGCTGTTTGGTATTCTTTGCCCCCGCTCTTTGGCTGACCGCTTTCCGGAAACAATGCATAAAACTGTAGGTCATAATTGTTTTCGTAACATCTGGAGGGGAACTGGCTGCTGTTCCCCCGTGTTCTGTGCCCACACAGGCCCAAATGTGTCTTTTCTGTCTTCTTGGCATGTCTTGCCTTTTCCTCCAGCAGGGACGGGCTCTGCGGGGGTCGGCCCCTTCCCAAGGCAGCTTTTGGTTCAAGATGAAGGACATACAGCTTCATTCTTGCCCAGAGATGACGCCATCTCTGGTTTGAGTTGGATGCGTGTGTAATTTTACGCTTTGCCGACATCTTCCCTATGTCCCCGTAAATGTGCCCGTTGTGTGTGGTGGGGAGGGAGAGGGGAACGCAGAAAAGAAATGGTATGGCTACGTATCTTATTTATTCATGTCATTATTTTTTAAGTCTAATACATCCGGGAGAGCTACCATATCATATATACAATCTAATGAATGATCGTAAATTTGCGTGAACACTGCTCAGGTTGCAAAGTAGAACGTCATGAGCACACAGCAAGCCCCGCCTCCCTCACTACAGTCCCCCCACCTCGCTCCTCCCCCGAGGTAGCCATTATCCTGATCTCTAACACCACAGTTATACTTCAGCTACTTTGAACTTCAGGTAAACGGAGTCAGTGAGTACACTGTAGTCCCTGACACATTTTGCTCCGTGTTGTAAGATTTATCCGTGTGGCTGCGGTTGAATGATGTTCACTGATTTTTATGTCTGTATAGAATTCTGTTGTACTTCTCTACCATAACTTATCCATTCTAGCATTGATGGACCTGTGGGTTTCTTCGATTTTGGCCATTACATATTGAGCCGTGAACACGTTTGTACCTGTCTCCTGGTAGGCATGTGCCTGCATTTCTGTTGGGCATGTTCCTAGACATGGAATGACTGGGTCCTAGGCTAGGCACATGTTTGGCGTTATTAGAAACTGTTGAATTTACTCCGACGTGGCTGTGACAGGGTCCTAGGCTAGGCACATGTTTGGCGTTATTAGAAATTGTTGAATTTTTCTCTGATGTGGCTATTTACGATTTACACTCCCACCAGCAGTGTAGGAGGGTTTCCGTTGCTCCAACTCCTTGCCAGCACTTGGCATTTTCGGTCTTTTTGGTTTTAGCCTCCTCGTAGGTGTGAAGTGGTAGCTCATTTGTTATTTCTCTGATAACAAATATAGTTGAGCACCTTTTAATGTGTTTATTGGCCAATTTGTTATGGTCTTTCATCAAGTATCTATTTAAATATTTGGCCCATTATTGGATACTAGAGGCCCAAAGCACGAAAATTCGTGCAAGGGGCTCGGCCCTCCCAGCCCTGGCTTCGTCCGGAAGGTCGTCCAGAAGGTCGTTTGGCTGTCCGGTCTAATTAGCATGTTATGCTTTTATTATTATAGATTATTATAGATAATGGTATTAGATACCTGTATCTTCCTTCTCAACTTGTACGAGTTCTTAATAGATTCTGGATAAGCACTGTGTTATATGTGTTTCCAACCAAACTTACGCTCTAAATGTGCCTGGAGACAATCCACCAGGTTCTCTGTTGGGAGGCCCTCCCTCCTGGCCCCGCCAGCACAGTACAATGCTAGGTATGGTTTTCCAGTCAACATTCAGACCGCCCACCTATGACTGGATACGAATTTAATCATCAGCCTCTTCTTTCCTGGTCCTGGGTTGTGACAGAACGCCCTTTCTTCTTGATGTGCAGGATCCTTGTGGGCGCACCAAAGGCCGAGTCCAAGTACAGCACGTCAGTGAAGTCCCCGGGGGCTGTGTTTAAGTGCCGCATCCATACCAACCCCGACCGGAGATGCACTGAACTGGATATGGCTCGAGGTGGGTGACATCCATGCCAAAGTGGAAATGGGCTCTGTACCCCCATTCTTCCCTCTTTCTTCCCAGGCGGCCGGCCGGCCTTCCTTCCTTCCTTCCATCATGTAGGGAGTACCTATTACTTTCTAAGCACCAGGATATACTAGTGAACAAAACAAAGATCCTGCCATCCTTACAGATTAGTGGGCAAAAGAGACATTAAAAAGCAAGACTTGACAGCAAGAAGACCAGAGGGAAGATGGTGTTTGATCTACACGTGATGGGAAAGATGCACAGCAGTCAGCTGGGCAGGTGGGGAGGCAGAACCTCCAAGCAGAGGAGAGCATGTGCCGTGTTCAGGTTCAGAGTGGGGGTGGTGTGGCTGGAGTGGCGAGCAGGAGAGAGTGGAGGCAGAGGAGCTCAGCAAGGTAGGTTGGGGCTGCTCACACAGGGCCCAGCAGGCTGGGGGAAGGGGTTAGGGTGTTATCCTGTGTATGAAGGAGAGGCCATTGAAATCAATTTTAGGGTTTATGTTTTAAGTAGGGAAAGATATGATCAATAGATATTTTTAAAAGCTCACTTGGATCCGGTGGAAGCAGACGGATCAGCCTGGGTTCAGAGCTCAGCTCTGCCAGTTACTAGTTGGGACTTATTGGGAATGTCCTGTAGCCTCTTTGGCCTCAGTTTCCTCACTAGGACTAAGATACCTTCCTACCTCACAGTATTACCTTGAGAAGATTGTGAGATAATAGAAGTGATATCCAGAATTGTACTTGGCACGCAGTAGGCACTCAGTAAGTAGGAGTTATCTATACTAATAAAAGGGTAATATGCTAATTAGACTGGACATCTTCCGGACGTCCTTCCGGACAAAGCCATGGTTGTGGGGGTCGAGGCAGAGGCAATTAGGGGTGATCAGGCTGGCAGGGGAGGGCAGTTAGGGATGATCAGGCTGGCAGGGGAGCAGTTAGGGGGTGATCAGGCCTGCAGGGGAGCAGTTAGAGGCATCAGGCCAGCAGGCAGAGTGGTTAGGGGTGATCAGGCAGGCAGGCAGGTGAGCGGTTAGGAGCCAGCGGTTCCAGATTGCGAGACGGACATCCCCCAAGGGGTCCCAGATTGGAGAAGGTGCAGGCTGGGCTGAGGGACCCCCCACTAGTGCACAAATTTCATGCACCAGGCCTCTAGTTTTATTATAACTCCAAGTCCTCACTTTCTCCAAAGTCCTTTCCCATCCAGAGCTTCTGAGGGTTAGTATTTCTAAATGAAGCGTTGCCATGATTCTCCTTAGCAGAAAGGAGAGGTGTCCTTGGTGCCACTCACAATGCCTGGTTGGCTTGCTGCTCGTTACTGGTGCCTAACACACTAAGGAGCTTGCTTCAGAACACAGGCCAGAGCACCGCCTCCATCAAGAACGTCTTGCTATGAGAACAACCTTGGCTGAATCACACGGCGTGCATAGTGGTGGAGTTGATTTTACACCTCGTTGTGCGTCCTTATTTCCTCCTGAGCTGGCTACAGACATGTGGGGGAGAGGGGCAGACTACCCTTGGAAGAGCAGCCAGCAGACCATCCTTCCCTCTCCCAGGACTGGTTTTTCTCTTCTCCCTCCAGGGAACCATCGAGGAACATCCTGCGGAAAGACCTGCCGGGAAGACCGGGATGATGAGTGGATGGGGGTGAGCCTGGCCCGGCAGCCCAAGGCCGATGGCCGAGTTCTGGTAAGGCTTCCCGGCGGGGGTGGGGGTGGGGTGCTGCAGGGAGGGCTGGCACTCTGAGCGTGAGTGACTTTGATCTCTTAGGAAAGCTGGATGGCATGGTGACAAGGGCTTGGCTCTGAGGTTGCCTAAACTGGACTGCTGTTTGGACAAATGACTGATCTTCATCTGTCAGATAAATAATGTCTGTCCCAGGGTGCAGAGAGGTGGCAGTGGAAACATAAATAAAATGTATGGGAAAAGTACTTTGTAAATCTTGTTCACAAATATTTGTGCGAGTCTTTTTAAGTTGAAGTATAATTTCCATAAAATGCACAGATCTTAAGATTGCAGTTTGGGTTTTGACAATTGTACACACTCGTGTAACACGCCCCCCCTTCCCCCCGCAGCACAATCACACTGTTTCTGTCCTTCCAAAGAGTTCTCTCCTGTTCCCTTCTAGGCAGCTTCCCGCCCGCCCGAGGCAGCCACTGTTATGCACGGTGGTACCGTGGGTTACTTTTGCTTTTTCTACAACTTTGTACCAATGGAACCCCACAGTGTGCACTCTTTTGTGTAAGGCCCCTTTCACTCAAAATAATACTTCTGAGATTAATCCGTGTTATGTGTATCAGGTGTTCATTCTTCTTTATTCCTGCATGGTATTATATTTATACTAGAGGCCTGGTGCACAAATTTGTGCACAGGTGGGGTCCGGCCAGCCCACCCCAATCTGGGCCGATTGGGCCAGTCCGGCTGGGGAAAGGGGATACAGGAGGTTGGCGGGCCGGCCCCGCCCCCTGGTTGAACTCTTGTCCAACTCCCAGTCGAGGGGACAATTTGCATATTACCCTTTTATTATATAGGATGAAATACATGTTATTACTTTAAAAATTTTTATTTTATTGATTTGAGAGAGAGAAACATTGATTGGTTGTTCCACTTAATTATGCATTCTTTGGTTGATTCTTATATGTGCCCTGACCGGGGATCGAACCTGCAACCTTGGAATGTTGGGCAGATGCTCTAACCAACTGTGCTACCTGGCCACGGCCAGTGCTCTTTGTTATAGAAGCATAATATCAAGAGGGGGAAATAACTCTAGCTGCCATTTATTGAGGGCTTCCTTTGGGCCCCAAGCTGTAAATGGGGTTTTACATATATCTGATCGCAGGGGAACCAGGTTCTCCTTCAGGATCTAGGCAAAATGTTTCCGTCCTCTCTCCTGGAGCCCACTTTTATGTTAAACTTCTCCATGGCAGAGGCCATTCATCTGCATCCCGCCTTCCTTCTCAGCACAAGTTACGCATCTCCCCCCGTCAGCCCCTGGCGAGGAGCGGGGAGCAGCTGGATGCTGTCGCCAGCATTGCAAGGCCTCCCCACCAGAAAGCATCGTAGCTCCTGCGGAGGGTCCCCAACCCCACTGTTTGTCTTGGTTTCTAGTCCTTTAATCACTGTCACAAGCCGCCTTGGACCCTCTCCCAGCCTCTACATTCCTCCAGCCCCAGTGCCTGACCCTGGCTGGACCACTGGGCCCCAGGAGGGCCAGAAAGCTTGTCGCCTTCCCATGGGAAGGAGGGAGAAGCTGACCCATCTGAAGTCCGGGTGGCGGGAGGTCAAGATTCTGACAGAGGAGGCGTGGCCGGATGGCACACAGCACACGACACTCTAGGGAGCCCGGAGCCCACCGCCGGAGGTTGCTTCTGTGACGGCATCCCCTCTCCCCACGGAAGGATAAGCTCCGTGGGGCTGAGAGCTTGTTGCCAGAGGCATGTGCATTACGGCAAGTCAGTATCGGGAAGGGGCCGTGCACAGCAGTGAGGATCAGGGGGACGATTTAGCACAGGAAGCTGTGAAGGCAGACCTGGGGCATTTGTGGTCCCTGTGCCATGACAGCCCCTCTGATTCATTGCATGCGGAGCTGTTCCTCTCATGTTTGACACAAGGACCGCACCACCCATCCAGTCAGCCACTGTATGCGGGGGCTGAGGAAGGAGTGGGGCATCCGTAGCAGCCTTTTCCTTGTGGCTTTTCTTGTAAAAAACACAACATAAGCCTTAGCCACCTTGGCTCAGTGGATAGAGCATCAGCCCGGGGACTGAAGGCTCCTGGGTTTGATTCCTGTCAAGGGCACGTACCTCTGTTGCAGGCTTGATCGCTGGCCCCGGTTGGGGTCCGTGAGGGAGGCAACCAACCCATGTCTCTCTCACGTCGATGCCTGTTCTTTAATGTCTCAAGTCTACCTGCCAAAGCTTTCTTGGAGGCAAGTACTTATCTTAAAATGGAAATCAGGGAGCTATGTCTTATTCAAACACGTTTGGAGAACTCAGGTGGTACTTGGAAGTGTGGGCCTGACACCCATGTCAAGGAGCACAATATCGGATTCTGAGGTTGGGTTTGAGGAGGGAGAGCTGAAGTGTGTGTGTGTGTGTGTGTGTGTGTGTGTGTAATGGCATCAGTGCTGATTTCAAAGTAAAGAACACATGGGAGTTTGGAAGCTGTGACAGGGAGTCCAGTGTCTCCATGAAAAGTGGCATTTTCTGACCCATGGACCAGCCCTGGCAAGGCCTTGGATGTTGGGCTGGGCTGCCAGGCTGCCCTTGGCTTAGTATCTGCCTGGCTCAGCTCACAGGTGCTGTGGTCCTTGCCAGTTTTTCCCCAGGGACTCGCGGTACCGGGTGTGACCACAGCCTGGGGATCAGAGGCAAGCCCCTTCCCGCCCCACACCCTCCCCCGGACTCGGGGTGCAGATGGCGGTTTGAGACCTAGGGAAGGAAATCCCCTTCTGCCACAGCCGCCAACACACGCAGCCCAGGCACTGACGCTCCTCCTGGGCCTGGGAGGCAGCTCAGAGAGTGCCCGGCTGGTGTCTGCTTCCCATGGGTTTCGGGGCTCAGCCAACACACCAGAAGCGTGTAGATGGCTTCTGGGTGGAAGCATGCTCTCCGGCTCTATCTCTTTGCCGTTTCCTTCCCAAACGTCAGGGCAGCCCCTATCTGTTCACATGTGTCATCTGTCTTTCTTTTTTTCCCCCAAAGCCACGTGGCTATTTTTTTTTTCTTTTAATTCTGTTGTTCCGTTTCCTGATTTTTTAAAAAATATTTTATTGATTTTTTTACAGAGAGGAAGGGAGAGGGATAGAGAGTTAGAAACATCGATGAGCGAGAAACATCA